ATGAAGGTTGGTAAAATAACCCCGAAACTACTTACAATTTGACCGATTTGGTTAATGTGTTTTCACTTATCCAACAGCAAAGCGACAGTCGCAGCTATCTGTTGTCGTGGTGCCCATTGCCTGCACGCTTGTGGCCGTCTGTTTGGTCATCTTTGGTGTCGCCTATTATATGCAAAGTCGGAACCGGTAAGTACTATAAATCCTAAAAATAAGCCCCACAAATAACTGATCTTTTCTGTGATCTCAGCTTTACGGTGGAGGTGGCTGATTTCAATTTTGGTGATACCCAGTCAGTGGATATGGAATACAAGACATTCCAGCAGCGTTTGATCGACAGCATACGCGATGCGTGGCCATGGCCCCGGTGGCGTCGGTATTCGCAGTCAAGCACGGATCTCATGGCTGAACAACCGTCTAATCCCGGTAGCTTTGGCGGAAATGTTGGCGACGTCGACAGTAATTTGCGCTATAATACTTTTAACTAAAAGCAAACGTAATTGCTTTATTGTTATTATTATTCTTTAATCAAATTAATTTAAATATTCAACTTAGTTTATAATTTTGATTTCTTTACAATGGGAGCGTTTCATATTTTTTGTTTAGTCATTTGCAATGCATAGTAAACCTCTAAACGTTTTCTTGTTGTCCTCGTAAACCAGTTTATCCACACATTCGTGATCCTTTCGTCCACATTAACGCACACTAGCTCATTAATTGCCAAATGACTTGCAATATTCGATAGCAAATCGAGAAACTTTATGAACGCAATTGAAACTCTCATAAAATATGAAGACTGTCTTTGTTCTAAAAAAAAAAAAGAAGTAACAAAGGGAGATAGAAGGTAACTAACTTATGCTGCAGTCTGTTTTGTATTGTTAGCATATAATATCATGTTTGTAGACATAATAACGTAAGGATACCTAGCTCTCGAATCTTGATGACAAAGGCACAGCACATACATACATACATACACAAAACAACCAAACACACAAAATATATTATTCATTGTGATAGAACTAACAGTATATTTGTATGTTAAAAACAAACAAACAAAAAAGAAGAAAACTGGTCAATATGTAACGCTGCTAAAAGTACACGGTTAGTGCCGATCATAAATAAGAGTCTAAATAAGATGACTTACAATTAAATCCATATGTGTACATATACAAATATAATTAAATCTAAATTATTGTTCTTAAATGGGTATTAAAAAATTTAAATAGATTTTTTAATAATTTAGCCTACATCAATTCCAATTTGAAATCGCGCAAATCTGCGTAGGCTAACGCAATATGCTCTAAAAAAAAGGCATAAGCAGAAAATGTTATATTAACAGAACACTTCCTAAGAGCAATTTGGCTTGAAACTAGTTCCGGAATTTGTTTGTATTCTTTTCTACACTAAAAGATGTTTTTAAATGATCTTGGACAACCTTTAATATTGGATTCTAAAAAGACATATGGCCCTTACGAACAAGTAAGAAAAATTCTTGAGCCTATTGGCTAATTGATAAAATGATTTATTTATAATAAACTAGCATAATGGACCAATGCTGTTAACGTCGGCGGCGTTCCAGGATCACATAGTTCCCACAAATTGGTGTGGACGCATTATTGGCTCAGCAAATGATGTGGCCCGTTTCCAAGGTGTGTTATCCAAAACCTGCCAAAATCCTGTATATACAGTTTTAAGGCCCAACGAAGAAACGAGTATCAAATATGATGAATCCAAAATCAGTTTGACTTTGATACCAGCAGGACAAAACGAAGATAGTGGAAGTTCTACCTTGTATTACTTGAAGAGTAAGTGACTCGCATTTTTAGATGATATAATAGCAGACATTTATTTTTAGATGACTACGTTAGATCACTTATAGCTGACAATTTGAGGCTATTTGGCTATTTGGACTTTATACCAAAGGCCGGTGCATCCTTTCACCGTGCACTTGGCAATGGGATTGATGTCCTATATGTTGATGACTCGTGTTATGCGTCCGAGGATAATGATGCACAAGCTCAAAGAGAGTATATCTATACGCTAGTACAGCTAGTAAGGCCAAAATACTTGTATGGACTAAGACTGGACCAACTACCAAAGTCTTTGCTCGACTTGTGCGTCCAGAAGGATATGATTAATTTCAATAATAGAAACATAGAAGTGCCGTAAAAATTTTAATTTACAAGGGAACGTTGGTTATTGGTAAATATCTAAGAGCTTTAACTAATTAAAACACAGCTACCGAGCGTGTATTATGCCTTGGCTGCTTTAGCCTTGGTTTTCACTTTCTTAACGCGCTTAAGTCCATCCATTTTACTCTTCATAAATTGTGAGTACATCGCCATCATTGTGGGAACATCTTCTTGGCGAACTACCGTGGAAATCTAAAAAGAATTCTATTGTTCTGAAATATAAATTTATAAAAATATAGAATTGTGTTTACCTTTTTGGATTTGAATTGGGCACGCATTAAGCACATATACGTTTCTGGTTTCGGCAGGGGTTTCCTCCCTTCACGAGGCACAGGTCGGTCATGCCCATCGTCTAATGTTGGAAATAGGAGCGCATATTGATTAGAGAAGTCGCATGCGGACAGCCTGGTTACTTACAGCGTTTGAATGTCAACGTGAAGGAAGCATCCTTTCTCGCTTCATTGGCAATTTTTTCCAGACGAAGTATAAACTGTAATTAGATGATATATTATTTAGGAATTCCACGGCTAATGTATTTATTTACGTTAGCATTGTCGAGCAAAACCATTTCGTGGCAGATCTTAGACCAGGCGTAAAGTGACACTTGTGCGCTAGGGATTAATTAGTACATAATTGTAGTATGTAAACTCACAGAATACTAACAGACTGCTAAGTAACATAATTTCTGACGCACCAAAAAATCAAGAGCTGCCAACTTACATATTTTAAGTTGGCAGGGCTGGCATTCGGTCTTGCTTCGCCAAAAAAAAAATTACATTAAAAATCGTAAAATTCCACGAAAACTTACAAGTGCAGGCAATCGACTAGGCTGTTGAATGCCCAAACACTTCCATACGTCGCGATCACCACATTCGCACTACTAACGCACCGAAGCTAGCACAACCAGCGTGCATTGGCTGATGGTGTAAGCAGAAACGATCGAACGACTCGACGACCGCCAAAGGAAGCGCTCTCCGCCCGCCCACGCCAGCAGCAGAAACAGCCGCAGTAGGCATCGACAATAACAAATTGAAGCACAACCTTCAGGTCACTTGGCAATAGTCAGCATAAGCCATCAAACAACAAATTTTCAATAATGGTAAGCACGCCTCGCCGGCCATCGATGTCGCTCTGAAGGATATGTGGACGCTGGATAAGTAGCAATTCACTAATGCACATACATATATACGCATATTAGCGTACGCACTCGCACCCACACTGGCAGGGGCATGCGTACGGTGAATAAGCAAAAGCCGCGCTACATCGCCTTCGCCGTAGTCAGCGCCGTTGCTTCTGGTGTTGCTATGAACTTTGACCGTAACAATGTGATTTCTTTCTTACAGGACGTGTTCCTCATGATCAGAAGGCATAAGACAACCATCTTTACGGATGCTAAGGAAAACACATCAGTTATTGAGCTGAAACGCATGATCGAAGGCAAGTATAGCAATATATCTAAATATTTCTTTATGCGTAGCGTATTCGCGCTTCTGTGTGTGTGCATGTTTGTGGGTGTTAGTGCGTGTACGTGTGTGAGTGTCGTGTGTTTAAGTGTTATTCCTATTTATAGAGCACATTTTTGATTATTAAGTAATTTTATAATCATTGGCAGGCATTTTGAAAGTGTTACCCAGCGATCAGCGGTTATACAATCAGGACAACGATGTCATGGAGGATGATCAAACGTTGCAGGACTATGGCGTTACGGTATCAACGGCAAAGGCTCAAGCCCCAGCGCAGTTAGGCCTAACATGCAGGTGAGTTATGCTTGCTTCCCTTTCGCTGTCATTCACAGTTCCCGTTATGAAAGCCGCCCTTTGAGTCACGCTGATAAGCCGCTAATATTTTTATTATTATTTGCACATGTTAGAGATGAGCGCGTGTAAACTATTTTTCATAACACAAACATTTTTCCTGTTTGCTTTAAATTTAATTTTGAACATTTTTTTGATGCAGAAGACTCGCGATTTTATTTCTTTAATTTCAAAAAGGTTTTCTTTTACGATTTGTTTTATTGCTGTTCCTCTAAAGCAATTATTTATTCCTGCACTTGCATGCAAATTGCTCATTCGTGCTAAAGGGTCAAGCGTCTTCGCGCTCCATAATAAAGCACGACCTCCACTCAACTCTAGAACATTGTACATATGTATGTTATCGGCCGCCTCGCATAGTTTCACACGTGTGCCGCATTTGTTATTGAGTTGACATTTTACTAATGTATTTTGATTGCAGGAACGAGGCGGGCGATTTCGAGTCGCTGGAAATCACGCCCTACTCAGCCCCGCCTGACTTACCAGAAGTGATGAAAAATCAAGAGGCCTCAAATGGACAGGAGCAAGTGGCATAAAATCAACAGCAACAGTAACGGCAACATCAATATCAACAACAGCAACCACACTTAAAACCCCAAAATAAAACCGTCAACAAGAGCAGTTACCCACTTGGACATCGCCGCTGCTGCTGCTACTGCTGCCATCGCATGCAAAGCAAAACTATAAATGCTGAAAGTCAAATTTACTATCGCTCGCTTGTCCCACACAACACACACAGTCAACAAAAGTCTCTCGATACAATGCTAAATGTTTCGAATTGTGCTACAGTTTCTTCTCTGCCTGGTCACACAAAAACAACAACAATACAACTAAAGCAACAGCAACAAAAATAAGAAAACAATAGCTAATTATGTATGCATTTTTTCGTCGGTTATATAGCAAGGAACAATTTAAACAATATGATTCAAAATTATAATTTGAAATTGGATTTGTTAATCTTATTATTTTTTTATATACTACCTATTTGTTTGTTTCTTATGGAATTTGTACGAATTTGTCTAAGAGAAAATAGATACTACACAAAATTTAAATGGAAATTTATGAAATGAAAGTCACAATTGAAATAGCTTATAACAATTGATAATTGAGCAAATGGTGAATATTTAAAATATTGGGATTTAAATTTATTATAATTTATAATCAAATTATGATTATTATTATTATTGTAATAATAAGATTTAATTATTATTAAAAAGAAAAAAATCTACATTACTAATCACTATCATCCATTCCCGATCCGGCGGCTGCCGTCACAGCGGCCACTTCTGCATCGTTGGCATCCGTCGCCGTTCCATCGTCCTCCTCGGCGCTATCTATGAACGAGGCGTTGCTGCTCTGCTGCAGCTCCAAGTGCTCCAAGTACTCTTGCAACCTGTCCTGGAAGAAGTTGATGTACGTCTGTTTCTGCTGTGCCGTTGCTGGGAAATAATGGCCGCCGCTATGCTCGAGCACTTCCACATTTCTGAAGTGAGCTGCTAGTGATTCGCTCATCTCTTTGGGAATGATTTCGTCTGTCAAGCCATAAATGTGTAAAGTGGGGATTGTGATGCGTTCTTCGTATGCGCTCATATGCACCAAGCTACCAGAAATGAAGCCAGAGCTGAGGACAGCGAATTCAGGTCGAATGGAGGTCACTTTTGGGGAAAGTGGATAAAATGTGTAATCATCCCTGCAATGTGATCGATGTACTTACATTTCTTTTTGGCTAGACCACATATGAGTCCCACAAAGCAAGCGCCTTGCGAGAAACCTAGAAGTCCTTGAAAGGGCCCCTGTGTCTTCCAGACATCTTCGACGTAGCGTAAACTCTCTTGGAAGCCTAATGCCGGACCACTTCTATTGGTACCCTTAAATGTGCCATCATCTTTGTTGGCCCACCAACTGCGCTGCTGCTCCACCGGCTCTGTCGATGGGTCCAAGGGCGCTGCTACGTGCGGGGCAGATATAAACACAAACTCGGCGTATTTACCGACGAATTTGCGAAAGGAGCCAAGTTTACTTTTAAATGAGTCCGCTTTAATTTAAAAATCAATTTAGCTCTAAAATTAGATTACAAATGGCATTAAAAGTACCGACCATCTTGCCGGTATCCGTGCAGGCAAAGAACTCGCACTTTCTCTGTAATTTCCACTTTGTTGGCAGATGTTGAAGCGCTGCCGCTTGCTCGACTCGAGCTAGCGGACTCTGATTCGTTGTTGGTCATTATGGAAATACGAGACGCAGCTGCAAAAAAAAAGCGCCTCAAGTAAAACTACAAAAGTATTTTTAGGTTAAAATGATGAACAGCTGATATACCGAATGCTAGAGATGTGACATTAGTTCATTTAGTTGACATGTGCTGGTTCAAAAACCAAATAAGTGCTGGCACTGACGAGAGAACACGCGTGATTCTTTCTTACACTGTGTGGCGCTACCGAAGAATACGTGAGGGATATTTAATCAGATTTCTTTGTGGTGTCATCTGTTGTGAATGTACAGTACGCTGGCGCCATCTGTGTAGTTATCTGTTTGAAACACATTTTATTCAGCAAAAATGTTAACTTTACATTTTCCCCAAGAAGGGATATATTCAAGAATATCCCTATAAGCCTGGGAATTATTTAATACACAAACCTTTATTTTTATTTTTATTTATTTGGGTATTTCATTACGAAATTTCCTATATCTGTCCTACGTGGGTATTATTAAACGTAACATATATTTGAATGTTATCCGAAACGTAACGAGCATTGTGTGGATTTCAAGTTAAAATACGAATGTAAACAAAATATTTTATATGCTGCATTGCTCTTTTAAGTTGTTTAGAGCACTAATTATAGAAGCAAATATAACTCAATTCGCAAATAGAACATTTCGATATAAAGATTTTAATAATACTATCATAAATACCGTTACGTTAACGCACAGGTTCTATCTCACGCTGGTACTCCTTAACCTCACCAGACAGCTCTCTTATGGGACTCTTCACATTGCCCGCATCGTAATATTAATTTGGTGATTTATTAGCAAACGGCACTTCAGGCGTCGGCGATAAATTGTAATGCAAATTAAATGAATGCTTGCGTATTTCGCATTTCATTTTGGCCATTGTTGAGGTCGAGCTTGAAATGTTTTAACGCTCGTAAATTGGTGCAGGCATTTGCCAGTTATGCGTAAATTGCAAATATTTATGTGCTACAAACTATTGTTGCAATTTTCTGTACACACACGCACACACACGTGTACATGTACATGTATGTATAAACAACCCATCGAGCTGCCGCAAATGCACAGACCACTCACTCAGAGGCAACCACGCACTGCGAGTCGATAGAAAACTGTTAAATATTTGATGTTGCTGCTATTTCACGCTTGTAAATCACAAACAAAGCCACAGACAGCCGGTCAGAGCAGCTTTTAAATGCGAATAAAACCAAAAAGTTGCCCTGCTTTTAGGCTGTATCTGTATCTGTATCTGTATCTGTATCTGTATCTGTATCTGTATCTGTATCTGTATC